TTGTGAGATAGGGTCTTCCCATAGCCCCAGCAGGCTTGGGACTCACCATGTAGACCAGGCTTGCCTGGATCTAACATAGATCCACCTGCCTCTGCCTCCTGAGTGCTGGGATTAAAGGCATACGCCACCACACCCATCTTATTTTTATTTCTTATGTGTATGAGTGTTATGCCTGCACGAATTTAAGTGTACCCATGTTGTGCAGTGCCCAGGGAGGACAGAAGAGGGCATCGGATCCCCTGGAACTGGAGTTAAGGGCAGTTGTTAGCCTCCATTTGGGTGCTGGGATTCGAACCCAGGTCTTCTGTAAGAACAGCCAGCGCTCTTAACCTCTGAGCCATCTCTCCAGCCCCCTCCAAAACATCTTTATAAATAAAAAAATATTACAAGGATGGAGGCTGGGGGTTGGGGCTGAGGACCAGGCTGGGCAGTAGTTTGTGGACGTGTCAGCTCCCAGGAACCAGCAATCCAGATACAAGAGCACTTAGCAGCTGGTGGCACCCTCATCCTAGCAACGTGGAGAGGTTGACCCTGCTGCCTCAGTGGAAGTCACCTGGGAGTAGCTGGTACAGGAGGTGAAGGAGGGTCTGGGTCCTGGCTGATGACCTTGTTCCCTGCAGGTTGGAATGGGTCGAGATCATCGAACCGCGCACGCGCGAGCGCATGTACGCCAACCTGGTTACTGGTGAGTGCGTGTGGGACCCTCCAGCCGGCGTGCGCATCAAGCGCACCAGCGAGGACCAGTGGTGGGAGCTCTTTGACCCCAACACATCGCGCTTCTACTACTACAGCGCCGCCTCGCAGCGCACCGTGTGGCATCGCCCACAGAACTGTGACATCATACCCCTGGCCAAACTGCAGACGCTGAAGCAGAACACTGAGTCCCCACGCGCCTCTGCAGACAGCAGCCCAGGAAGGGGCAGCCGTGACGGTAGCACTGGCTCCTCCTTGGAGCCGGAGCCCGAGGATAGGGCACAGGATCTGTCCATTAGAGGCGGACGGACGGCAGCCTTGGTCACCTCGAAAGATGAGAGCGGCAGGTGAGGAGGCAGGGACAGGGCTTGGGACTGAGAGGGAGGAAGGGTGTTGAATAAGGTTTGCAAGACTACTGATTGTCTGGCACACCTCTCTTGTGTCCAATAATAGAGTTTTTAGTCTTTGCTGGACCAGCCACTTCCTCGTTAGTTTATCCATAGTGACATTAGCTACCTGCATTCCTAGGACCAGGAGCTAAGTAAATGAGCAGAGCCTTGGAGGAAGAGCCGGCCAAGTAAGGCCAGTTGTGGTGGTACACATCTGTAATCCCAGCACTTGGGAGGTGGAGGGAGGATCCATAGTTTGAAGTCAGCCTGTGCTACATGAGACACTGTCTGAAAACACCAGTGGGGGAAGCAGGGCAGAGTAGATTCTGGATATAGTGTGAGCACACATACCTGAGGTAGGAAGAGAGGCCAAGGGGAAATCAAGGTAGTTTGGTCTCCTACTTGCTTTTCCCAGAAGACTGCTGATGTACCTTCAGTTTGTGTGTAGTAGGGTGGGGGGTTCTGCTAATAGAATCGTGCCTTTTGTGCTGTTTTGCTTGTGGAGAATGAAGGAGTGGTCTCAGATCTTTGTCGACAGCATGAGAGATAGAGGGGCTGCCTTCCCTTTGTAGAGTCCCTCTTTGTGCCTGTGAGGACCATGCTGCTGGCACTGCCTCTGAGCCAGACAGTCCCGTAGATCTCCCAGGAAATGCTGCTGTTAATCACTTGCACAGGTGAAGAGACTGGCTTAGGCAGAGGACTTAGTCTGCGTGGTCAGGCAGGTGAGGCAAATAGGCTGTAATGGGAGCCTTTTAGCTGTCTCCAGTTGTAAGACACACCAGGTGTGGGCCTGCATGGAAGGTGTCATTGAAACCTTGTTTCTATCCATGAAAACAGGGCTATGGTGACCCACCTGACCATGTACATTTGGACATTTCTCTGATGTTAGTATCAACCTCTTTGCCAATTCAGTGGAGGATCCCAGAAAGAAGCATTGACACAGCCCATAACTGAGCCAGATTGTTGCAAGGAGCTGTCCATGCAAGGGGACATCCCATAAGAGTGGCTGCATCTCAGGGACAGCCAGAGTGCTGGGATGAAGAGACAGGGCAGGCTGGATTGTACTCAGGGGCAGCGGAAACCATGAGAGCAGTTGACACCTGAATCACACCTTGGATTCCTTTTGCTCTTGCTGAAAATAATGTGCAAAGGGTCTAGAAGGGAACTGGACCCATTGAGCAGCCATCATAAGAGCTGGAAGTGACTGTTCTGTGTGGTGCTGTGGGGTTGGGGTACGTAGATTTGGTATGATTTGGAGTGTAAATGGCTGGCTGTGTACTCTTGCACAGGATAGGGACTGGGCCAAAATGGGTGCTGGACAGGCACCCATTGGAGGTGACTTTTGGGAAGGCCTCTGTTGCTAAAGACACCCCTGTTCCCATGAATGAAGGAGTGGCCTCAGATCTTTGTTGACAGGC